TACTCTTAACTTCTAAGAAGGTAAATTGGCAATCTTGCTATCGGCAAAGGCAAGAGTTTATAATCTCTTGGCAAATTTTTCTTTCGTTGTGAAGCGTGGGAGATGTTTATGACATTGGTCAAGAAGTGCTTTAGGCTCACTTTTCATTAGAAAGATTATTCATGTTTCTGAAGACAACTTGAAATAAATAAAAATCGAACAGAAAAGTAAAAATTTAGTGGCGAGCAAACATTCCGTATGCATATGAATGTGGGGAACTTCTCGGTAGATATTTTGAGTAAGCAATTTGGAGAGAACAAGGGCCTTCTGGAGATTTCTCTCAAAAGTTTTTGAGAGAATTTCTCTCACACGGCTAAAAACGAAAGCTTAAATCTAAACTCATAATATGGTCTTTCTCGTATCAATTCAAACTGTCCTATGTTATTTTATCAATTGAAGAGAAAAACATATGTTACACAGCTGAAAGCAAGCAAGTTCCTCAGAACTTTAACCAAGAAACATATTTGTCACTTTCCCTTGGCATACAAACATCTGCTCACCGGAAAATGCTATTTTTGGACTACGAAGTGACAAGATCCCGTCAATTCTTTTGAGTTTACTTTGTGGCAGCATTGCCGTAGTAGAACGAGGAAAACTCCATTACGTAGAGGAAAAAAGCGAAAAATTAAATAAACAACGCATGACAGTGAAGTGAAACTGCTTCCTCCCTCCTATTTTTCTTCCTTGAATTCACTCTTTAGATCGTCATGTGGTCTTATTCACTTATGAAAATACTGAAATATGTATTTTTCGTTCATTCCTCGTGCAATTCGGAATCAAGTTGTCAATGGGTTGAACAGCCACTAATCCGTTTCATTGCTCTTTTCAGAAAATTTGCCCGCTTATTATACAATGATCTTAAACTTCCCCGTATGACTTAAGATTTTACTAGAACGGTAGATGCTATTTCTCTTTGAATTTGTGATAGTAAATGCATTAACGCGACAAATAAGCCGCGACTAAAATTAATCCCTGAGAGAGGCATTCAGTAAACTATCACAGAGATAATTTGAAAGCTTCTTTGGTAGAACTGCTGTTTGTTATATGTTAGAACTCGAAGTAGGCAAACTCCTACATAAGACCAAGACTTGCCGTGTTTCAAAAAGTCAAAGGTACCCCAGTCAGGTGGAGCATCGCCAAAGAGAAACAATCAACGACTGTTTTACCTGTTTTGTATTTATGTTTAGCGGGAGTCCTGAACATGCATTGTTGGTCTGAGAAGATGAATGCTCCGAAATGAAATGAAATTTCATAATGGTATTATGTTAACTTGATACCGCTTTTAATCATAATTTGCACCTTTTGATTGTCTAAGTGGTAATTTTCTTGAGCCTGAAAACGCGACGAGGAAACACGGAAAACTGGATGTTATGAAGCTGCAAACGGAATGTTTCCTGTGTTTTAAGTTGATTTGCTAATCAGAACTGAAAACGCAATGCACTGACCTGTGTTTATCATTATTTCTCTGAAAGCAAGGGCTTCATACACCTGAAATATCCGAGTGTAGTAAGTTAAACTTGTTCACTGACTTGCCCGCGAGGTATCAACACTGACAATTTCCAGACTTCTCGTGTGACCACTTTGTTTTGAATAAATACCGAATGTAAATAACCCACTAAACCCGATATATGATCGATAAGAAAGGAACTCTTCTGCACGTGTTAAAAAAAAAAACCTGTTTGATCAACTGTGAAGACAAAACAGTTTCTCAGAGACTGCCGGGAATAGCTCATTTATTTTTCAGTGATACAAAGCTATTTAACCAGGAAAGATGTCAGTTTTCAAACAAACCATTTTTTAGAGAAACATGTTTTTTTTTCGACTTGTCACGAGCGTGGAACAAAGAAAAAATTCTGAATGGCTTGCACAAACAACCTGCTAATACCACTTCGAAATGTTTTCCAAAACCGGTTTTATTTGTCAAAAGTTGTGCGGCAAGATGAGACCAGATGACTCATCAAAATCTCCCAAATATCATCCCCTTTGAGTGGTTAAGAAAACAAATAAAGATATTTCCTCTAAAGGAGGGAGAAAAGTAAAGTGCCGAAAGAAATTCAATCTGAGAAAGAAATTTTGATCGTTGAAATGGCTCCAGAGACCACAAAAAAATAGAAAAACAAAGATACAATTGCAGACCCTTATGTTATGAATATTAAATGCTGGATGAAAATATTTTCGGAGTAATTGACAAATATGAATGTGAATTTAATGCTATAGTACCAATATTAGATTTGTCATTGTGAATAATGCAAATATACGTGAAGAAAACGCACGCGCACGACAGCTAATTTATATTTTTGCTTTACGAGTTTTTCTTGATGACACAGTTTTCTTCACTGTTCACAATATTCTAACTCTTCGTTTATCCATGATGGCTAAAGTATGTTCCAGCTTGCTGCAGAGTTTTTGCTACCCATCAGCGCGAAATACTTGGTAAAAACAATGCTGTGAACTTACTAGGAATTAATCGCCCGATTGTGCAAAATTGTGGTTTTTCTTATCTCGCATTTGAACGCCAAGTGATAATAATTGATTTAAATCTCTGTTTTATTTTATTTTTTTATTCAGCTATCTCTAAACAAATATAAACAAATCGTCTACGGTTGACACTGGAGGCAAATGTAATTTGAAAGAATGTTATCCTCGCTAAATTCGTTACACTGAGTTGTTGTTTAGAGCCGATCAAGAACACTTTCTTAGCCTCTACTCTCCTCTACCGGTCATTTTAATTTCACAAAAATTCCACGAAACAACTTGCATGTGTTTGTCTCCGCCAGAGTGAGTTGGTCATCATAATGCAGGGAAAATCTCTACGATCCCTAACAAACGTTCACTCGCATTCATTGTTCTAATGCTGGATCTCCTAATTAAACATAAAGAACTTCTAAGTTTAAGCTTATATTAAGAGCAGAGACGGTTTTGATACAGGAACCGGAAGAAGAATGAAACTAATTCTGGCGCACCTGGACCCCAATGTATCGACAGTAAGGTCGTCGTTTTAGCATTTCAAACCGGATCGGAGCGGATCAAGAAGGTGTAGTCAGTACCATCAGAGAGATTTTAACTTCTGGCGGCCGCCTGCGTCTCAAAAACGTTTGTACTGAAGTTAACAATACTTCAAAGCATCGACAAGATTTCGTTTGTTTTCCTTAGCAGCAAGAACTCAGATGTGAAACACCGAAGAATGATTCAAGCGAAAATTGCCGAAATAATCGAGGGTTTCGTGGGGATCCGGAATTCAATAAGTCGCTTCGAGTTAGAAATTGCATGTGATCACAGGAAATCAGCCCTGGACTCACCTCAAATCACTGTCCATTGTTATAGACCAAATGATATTTTTTTCAGCCGCGTTATTCAGAAATGGGTGAACCAAAATCCTCACCATAATTATGACAACTCTGTGAACAGCTAGTCCGGTTGAAATACATTGATTCTGTAAAAATAGTAACTACATGCAAAAAAAAACCTCTTGTCACAACCGTGGCACAAAAACACTACAGATGTTTAAACATCACATTTGAATTGAGTAAACTCGCTGGGTGATTTTCGATTATATATGTTAATAAGATCAATCCTTCGGAGTCAGGCATGGTTACCGTAGCACCGGCACGTTGGTGATGGATTTCTGTGACTATTTAAGTGTATCCCTGATACATGAACGTCAAAATGATGAGAAAATGTCCCTCGTAAGTAAACAAGTATGTATTTTCCACTTCATGTCAAAATATGGTAATTTTTCTCTAAGGAAAGAGGGGGAGGTAAGGGAAGGGATCACTTAAATCAGTCTCTCAGGCCCTGGATTCCCTTTCAAGATCTCGAACCCCTTGCCTGCATAGCTGGCAGTTTTGTCCGCGCTTTAAACTAGCTTTCATACCAAACTTTCCAGTTTTAACGGATCCGCCACATGACGGTTCAAAACGCACCCAAAACCGTTTGCTTCGCATGAAAAGCGTACTGAAAAAGCGCCGTCATGTGTTAAAAAAAAAAAAAGGGACTTAGTCGTAGCGTTAAATTCCACAGCGACCATAAACCAATGAAGGAGCGAATCTAAGAGATCCTCGCAGCTATGAACACTACTGAGCTAGTAGTTGAAAATAAGACCTGAAAATAAATTCATGAATTTATTTTCAGGTCATTTTCATTTTAAAGTAGTGTTCATAGCTGCGAGGATCTCTTATATCGTTTCTTCACCACAGTGCTCATATATGATTTTCATACATCTTCAACGAAGGAGGTTAGATCCTAGAGAAACTGTGCTGCGTCGGTGGGATGTATTACGAGTTAATTTGGTTTTATCAACAGAGTTGATGATGTGAATCGTATATTGCTGAGATTTTAAAGCCACGGTTTCGAGTGTCAGTTCATCGTTTGATTCGATTCACTTTGACGAAGTCGTTTGTTTCACACTCTCTTTACAGTCTGAACTTAGTTGATCAAACCAAATTATCCTTATTATAAATAGAAGCTGATGTTGAATTTGATAATGCTGGAAGCAAAACCATTCTGTACTAGTTTCGATTTTTCCAGTTATCCATTGTTATTATTGCAATCAGAATTTGAATCTCAAAGAAAATTGTGACCTTACTATCGTCTTTGAGCAAACAAAGAGGACGTACTACACTACAAATTTCTAAGTTTCTTAAAGAAATTGGGAGTCATAAAACACAAGCAGCAAAGTCTCAAGAGACAACCTGCGCCATTTCTTATGACTTTGCTGATTGAGTTTCACATCACTGGGGTCACTGCTCATCAGCTCAAATAAAACAACAAGTATCTCAGCCTACATCTCTTACCCCTGACTTGAGGTAGCAGCAGTAAGGCAAAAAAAAAAAACGATCTAGATTTTGATGGAATATCAACCAAACAATGGTTGAACACAAATCTTACGTATAACCTCACTTTCCCTCATTAGTCGTCCCCATCTACCCACTGAGACTACACAGAAAGGAGGTAAGAACAACTCATAGCTTAAGATTGTTTATTCAAAATAATACACTTCATCATAGCGACAAATCCAGTAAGCTCGCTGATTAGACAAACGTGTCTATCACACACTTAAAGTAGTGTTACTCCATGACAGAGAGACACAAGTCCAAAATTTTCGAAGCCATAATTGTCTCATTAGTATTACTATGTTCCACCAAATTGATCACATCCACTGTACAATAATTGGTTTCTCTTTAAAAAAAATGGCTGGTACATGTAAATTGAGATTCAAGAGATGAGTTGTCTATCCCACCACCATTGTGTTCTCATTTGGGAAGTTGTACTCAGGAATCTGAAAATGGAGCAGAATGTTGGAAATAAGAATTGTGATTTTAAAACTGAGACAAATATGATGTGATGTGATGCAAGAAAGTGCTTACAATAAGTCCCTTAAACCGAGAAAAATACCGTTTTGAATGAGTGAATGAATAAACATCATTTTAAGACAACCATACCCAAAAACTAAATACCATAACAATGAAATAATAATCATAACAGACTACACTCCATGAAAAAACTAGTCATCTAACTTCTTCAAGGTAGCTTCCAGTCACAGCAAGAATAAGATATAAAGATAGACATTGTGTGAGAGACAAGGTGATCCTGTACCCTCAAAAGGGGTTCCAATCTCAGACTTGGGTCAATGGAGTTTGATGCTCTACTATTGATTCACAGAGTCCTCATTGGTGAGCCCAGAGATTCTCTAAGTTGCAAGTATCATGAGCATAAATGGAAACTAAATAAGCTAAATTTTGAACTAGCATATGGGCTAGGTGTTACTCAAAGTTAATATAATACACAAGTCCCACATGCTGTTAGAATCATCACTGTTTAAAGAATATTATTTGCAATGAAGAAACATGGTAACTAATGCACTTGGTCCTCAAACAAAGAAAATTGTAAGTTGAATCTGCAACATATGTACCCACATCATGATTGAAAAAAAAAATGAATGAAAACAAAGAAATGAAGAGTTTTTTACAACAATCTTTCTTGCTGCTTTGTTACCTCAAGATTGAGTGGAGCTGGTCCCTTTCTGATTCTTCCAGAAGCATCATAATGTGATCCATGGCAGGGGCAGTAATAGCCACCATATTCACCAGAGTTAGCAATTGGAACACAACCAAGATGTGTACAGACTCCAATTACAACTAGCCACTCATCCTTCACTACACGCTCAGTATCATCTTGAGGATCTCGCAGACTAGCAAGATCAACATTACGGACTTCTTCGATTTCTTCAGCTGTGCGCCGACGCACAAACAGAGGCTTTCCACGCCATTTGAAAACCATGTTCTTTCCTGGGAAAACGGTAAAAATTTAGTTTTTGAGATCAGTGAGACCTCTATATTCTGACAAACTTTTTTATTAGACAAACTCTATTAGAGAACTCTTAAGTAAACACAACAGCCATTCAATACAAAGGTAAATTTCACAACAAGTCAATAAGAGATAAAGTACATGTACATACATGCAAACTACCTGATAAGCAGGAAAACATGAGTGACAAAGTCATGATTGGTTTATGTTCATAATCTCAGGGGTTCAGAAGGAGGTGCAAGTTTTCTGGACAAATCAAAGAGCAGAGTGGAACAAAACCAATACAATTCTAGATTTCTAACACCAACTGATTGAAAATTTAGTCCAGATAGAACTACATTGAAATCTTGATGCAGACATCCACATGGGGTCTAAGCAAGGCAGCTGCTCCCAACAATTTTTCACTAATAGAGTTTATCAGTAATATCATGCATTAACTTAGCCTAAGTTTAATTCAACCATTTGGAATGAAATATCTTACCTTCAGGGATTGTTGAAAGATCTACTTCAATCTTTGCCATAGCCAAAACATCTGCTGATGCACTCATGGTGGAAATAAACTCCAGCACAACATTCTTGCCAGCATGTAGGCCTGCCACACCCATTCCAGCCACCATGAGATATGTGAAGGCTCGCCGACTGATTTCTGATGTGTTTGGCTGATTTGGATCCTGAGAGACATCTCTTCTGTATGCACTGAAGTCAGGCATTGACACATCCGTGTGGCTGAAACGTACTTGTGTCCTACCTGTGTTGATAGTTTAAATCAGAATAATGAATATTTTGCTACAAAGATTAATTTGATAGCACCAAACATCACTTCAACCAGCAAACATTGAAACAACCACTTAATTATAAACATATAAAAGTGTTTCTCAGCCAATTTTACCATAAATAACATTTGATTACACAAAGTTGAATACCGAAAAAACTGAAGTGGTTGTAAATCAGAATTTTGTACATTGCAACCTGGACTATATTGGTTTTAGTAACAGAAACACAAGACCCTGTACACACAGGCTGAAAAAACAGCATGATAGACTGCCAATGACAGGTTTTATTGAAATCCAAAAAATACAAATTTCCAAAATTTCCCAAATGTTTTATCACCCATGAAATAGATCTTAGGTCAAGAAATGGACTCTTGTTGTCCCCTCTTTTACTTAACTCCTGAATTAGACCAACAAGTCAAAGAACAATGGTACTACAAGCATTTGTAGACATTCTTGTGGAAAACCAATCAAGACATGCCTCTACAGAGTGGCCAACAAAGTGGTGAATTTCTCAAAATTGCATGCTCAGTGGGGGTTAGTTTGTGCCCCTACCACATGCATAATATCCCCTAACAAGACACAATGCAAATGCATGCTCAGAAGGGGTTAGTTTGTGCCCCTTCCACATGCATAATATTCCCTACCAACACACAATGCAAATCACTAAAGCATACATGTTACACAAGAACCTTACTTGAGTGTCAAAGTTACTTGGCATTTCAACTAATTGGGGAACATAAATAAAATTTTACTTTTGATTGTGAGGAAAATTTTGAAAGAGATGTGATATGTGCAAACGGATGTAAAACGAAAATCTTCGTAAACGATTTAAAATTTCGTGACTTTGCAAGGTTACGACAAATTCATAAGTTTTCAAAATGTGGAAACTTGGCACGATTTCTTGACTAATTTCACAGAACTTAAACCGAATAATCCATATCAAAGGACGCTATATCAATCTAGAGAGGTCCACTGGCTCAACATTACATAATTAGCTTCAATATTCTGATCGGACTATTTCAAAACGCCGGGAAGAGAAAATAATGTCATGGATTAAAGTATGCCACACACCAGTGCACACGATCAGCTCAGAGTTCTAACTAAATTTTGAAAGTCGCTCCTTACCAATGTGAGTCGTTGTGGCGACCATGTTTCCAGTTGGGATAGTTTTTACAAGCGATTGACTTGTTAGAGCTGCCGGCGGACTCTGTACCGTCTCAAACGTTGGAATAACAGCAGCAGGAGTACCTTTTAGCGCTTGTGCAACATGGGTAGTGGTAGCAGATAGAAATCTTGAAAAGCCTGGCGATAAACATTTGGTGGAAAACATCCTGAGCGAGATATTTCACGCCAGAAAGCCTCTTGCTCTCTCACGAAACTTGAAGTTTTTCAATATGGCCGACAAAAGTGCGTCACAATTACCCGTGATACAACACGAGGAAAATATAATGAAACCGCTGACAAAAAGTGTAAATTGAGCGCCATTTTCGAAGTTTTGTTATAGTTTTTCAAACAAAAGGCTCCCTAATATCTTTATTGATTTTGTAAAGATGATAGTTGGAAGAATATCTATTGTAGCTCTTGGACATATTGATAATTATGGACGATGGAAGTAAGTTACGTGTAAGAACAGAACAAGCTGTCATACCCGATGGCAGTGTCGTGTTGCAGTCGTTCATCGCAAAACTTGGTAAGAAAGTGAGCAGTGAAGCCTACATTTAACTTGTGTTTGAGTTCAGCCTTAGTTAGGTCACTTCGGTTTACGTTTAAAAAACTAGATCAATTGCCTCCGATTTCTGTGTGTGATAATCACATACAGATATCAGAAGCATCACTGATAGTCAATTCACGGTTTGCTTACTTTCAACAACTGTAACTTAGGTGATAAAAAAAATAAGCTGAATTATAAATGTACAAGCATTTTGATTTATCACCATGAACAACTTTTTGCTTTGTTATTATATAAAACAAACAGATTCCATGTTGCTGTGGAAGTGTAAAGTAATAGATCACAATAGTGACAACAATTGTGGTAATAACATCAAGGACAAACTCAGTTACACTTCGTGTTCCTCTTTGTTGCTAGTACCACATTTTGATGTCATATGTGATCTATTACTGAACAGACTCATGGCAACATGGAATCCATTTGCTAATTAGAAATATCAAGCTTGTAGTGTACAATACTGTAGTTGTTAAATACAAGTTCAATCGTGGTCTTAGTGAGGCATTCTCTGTTTATTCTGTTATTGTAAAATTTCAGTCTTATACTGTCCTAGATGTCCTTAAAATTGCTGTTATTCATTATGAGATCACTCTGCAACATGTTGATAGGTCATCATGTAGAAGAAATCCGTGTGAGAGCACTGAAGAACATTTTATTTAAGCTAGAGCACAAGTTGGTTTGTCCAGCTGATCTGGTTCAAGAGAGGCAGTTGCTGATTAATCTTTTAGAATGGTTCAACTTTCCAAAGCCATCCCTCAAAAAGGAGGTGCTGGGAATTCTTGAAATTTTGTCGAGGGTGAGTTTACAGCACTTGGTGGCTGAAGCATTTACTGGTAGTTTCAATTCATTGATAAAGTGCGATGCCAGTATCCAAGCTCTGTATTTGTAATTCTTTTTACTGTCTGTCATATAATTCTCATGATGTTAGTTCAGGGAATTTGGTATTGGATCAACTAATAGTCCTCTTGTTGATATTTTTCTTTATTCTTGACACTTGTCTTCTTGATGTTGTATTGACATTGTGAGGAGAAATTCTGTCTTGGTCACTCATGAGAGTTAAATGGTTAAGAAGCTATATTTTACCCATTGGGTTCATGTTGCAGTTACATGTGAGCAACTGTTGTTATGAGTATTGGTACCGTCCAAAATTATTGGTTACTAACTTGCTTTGCAAGCAGATTTTTTGTTCACTTGACTAGAGATAATACATTTCTGCAGATCAGGACTATTCAAGAAACCTGCAAAAAATAAAAAGCAATAATATTTTCATGCTTTATGGTAATTCAAGTTTCTTTATTTGAATGTTTTCATCAGCCTGTTTCTGGAGCAGAGGGCCTGCTAAGTCTTGGAGCAGTAGAATTTCTATCACACTTAAGGCAAGATGTTGATCCTGAATTGCACCAAAGTGTTGATAATGTGATACATCAGCTACTGACCTTGCCGCAAGAGGATGCTGTGGATCACAGTCAACAGTGCTTGTACAAGGAGCAGTACCCTGGGCCAGTGGATCAAACTCAAACATCTGTGGATCGTGATGAGTATCAGCAGTCCCTTGGTGAGTGCTAAAAATATTTGAACTGACAGTAATCAGTAGACATCCTGTACACATTTATCAGATTGGTTTAACTGGGCTAGGAGATAGAACTGGAAGTGTATAGAAGGAAGAAAGAAAATAACAGAAGGAAAAAGGAAGGTAATGGAGGAAAAAAGTGGAAGAAAATCACTTACATGTATCATGATATTGTTGCCCATATTCTTTCTTTTTTTCTTCCTTCAATTCATTCAACTCAAACAGTAGCAGTTCCTACTTGCAATGAGGGACTCAGATTGAAAAAGCAAGATAAAATTTCTTGATTGATGTCTTACTTCAAATCATGGTTTATTCATTGAAAAAAATCTGTCAGATTTCAGGCCTAATAAAGGTTTGTCTTGCTTTGAGTCAGAACAACAGCACCTTTGAAGCTTGGTAGGACTTGAGAAAATTTGATAGGACAATAAATTAGGGGTTGCACTTGTCTCATAGACCTGATGACAGATTTTTTAGCAAAATAATCAATAATTTGTCAAGTGCCTTGGAGACCTTCATGATGACAACAGTTTGTATGAAACTCCATTCATAGGTCATACTGCAGCCTTACCTCTCAGCACCCAGTCAACAAGTACTAACCCTCACCCTGAGGGTAGTAGAGCCTTTTTGTCATCTATCAGCCCAGTCAGTGGATATTTTGAGAAACAGGGTGGCATGACTCAGAAAGCAATCATTCCTCTACAAAGTGAGACGCACTCAGAGTCCTCATCAAGTAAACAAACCACAGGTATAGTACCCCTCAAAAACAATGTTCACCAGTGTTTTTTTTACTAAATATCGTTTAATTTTCTGTATGTTTAACTTCTAATAAGTTGTATTGGATTGACGACCAACTCGCCGACGTCTCTACTCAATTTTATACGTCGGCCAGTTGGCGAGTTGGTCCGTCGACAAGTTGACCGTAATTCAAACTTATCAGGTAGAGGTCTTTACCTTGATCTATGTCTTGACCAATATATTCCATACAGAAAATAGTTTGCAGAGTGCTCAATCCTTTGCTGTTGAGCGTTATAGATGCTTATGAATAAAAGTAAATCTGTAGTATTCTTTTACCCACATTACACTAAATTTGCTTTAATTTTCAGGAACCTTTAGTGACAACAAGTCAAGCCTGACCTTTGTTCCATGGTTACCTTTGTCAGCCAGTGACAGACACATTTTGTCTGTGACAGCCAGCCGTTTACAGAGTAGAAGCTCTTCCTTAGTGTCTAAGTCTTGTGAGTTTCTGAGAGATGTTCTGTTTAAGGATTTCCCTGCTGAGATCTTCTTACACAGGCCAAGCGTGCTTCAGGTAACAAGAAAATCTGTCACTCCTTAACCTCCTGAGTGTTTATACGGCATCCTGAGTAAGTTGACATTTTAAGAGATTCAGTTTAACACTCTAACACCCAGACCAAATTTGTAATTCTCCTAACTGTCTACTATTCAATTCTTATAATCATGTTAATTAAGAGAATTTAATATTGGGTCAACTAATTATCCCTAAATTTATATTTTTCTTTATTCTCATCACTTATCTGGTTGATATTGTATTGATATTGTGAGGAGAAATTCTGTCTTGGTCACCTGTAGAAGTTAAAGGGTTAGCTTCAGGTGTTGGTTGTTCAAATAAAGGGGATAAGTTTGTAATTAAATAAAACTGTGGTGCTACATCATTGGGGGAGTATAACAACGAAGATAAATTGGTGTAATCAAATGAGTTGATGATGTAAATTGGCCACTGTGAAGAGGTTGAAAACTGAGGTTTCAAGCATTAGCCCTTCTTTAGAGAAAATGGTTGTTGGAAGGCTGGTTGGCGTTATTCTATGGTTAAACTGTTATCCACTGGATTGCGTAGTATGTTTTTGTAAACACTTATCTACTGGTTAGGATAACAATTTAACCAGTGGATAAAATAGATTTGACACTTCAGTATTTCAAATGGATTATTTATAGCAGCAAATTATTATATTACTAAATCAGACATTTGTGCTTTGTGTTCTTTGAGAGACTTAAAAATGAATGCAATGGATGCTTAAGTTTTTATTTTAATTTGTTTTTGTATTATCAACTGAAGTCTCTTCTAGAACTGTTGGAGGAGAAGAGCAATGTTGGTGATGAAGCTTCTCTTACACTTGGTGCCATACGCTGTCTGTGTGACCTGAACCATCATGTCCTTGTACGGCTCATGGCAGTGTGTGATCTTGTGCTTTTCTGTCCTGAACAAGGTTTGGCACTTTGTTCTGTTTTGTCTTCATTAAAGAGGAGTTTTTCATATGGAACACTTTATCTATAAATTTCCTATAAATTTCATCATGATGTTCATGCTTAAGGTTAGGATTTTTTTAATCTTTTCTATCATTTGCCTCATTCCCTTTTGGGTTATTTTGTTATTTCCACTTTCTAATTTTTTAAAGAAAGTGACAAAACTTTTGAGTTGTAAAACATGTTTCAACAGAAACTTCTGTCATCTTCAGTTAATTACTGCACCAAGCATTGAAAGTTGAATTATATAGCTGTTGTCATTATTCATCTTAATTAGCATTGTTCTACTTACTATATAATTCAACTTTCAATGCTTTGTACAATAATTAACTGAAGATGACAGAAGTTTCTGTCGAAACATGTTTTACAGACTCAAAAGTTTTGTCGCTTTCTTTAAATTCTTGACTTGCCTGCAAATATCAAGACACTTTCTAATTTGTGATGAAGTTATCAGCAGTTTCATTAATGGCAGGCAAGTGACAAAAACTACTGCTTTAACTTTATCAGAATTAATCTCTCCCTGCTTTCATGACAGATTGTTGGAAATACAGGCATATTTCTTTGTCAATGGAAACAAAGAACCAAGGTACCGATCAACAGGTGTCAAATGTAAGAGAAACTGGAGATGGGGGAGTTGACAGGTGTGTCTGCATGCACAAGGATACATTAGACACACATACAGTATTTTTTAAGATAGAGAGATCTTGATGGCCTCTGTTTTAGTTTATATATAGTTAGTATTCTACAACATGAGCTACATGTGAAATAGGGGAGTTTGTAATTTGCATTGAGCATTCATTTGACTTAAATGTATAGATTCACAGCAAAACCATCATTTTACCAG